ACGCACACAAGCACACACGCAACACGCACACACGCACCACGCACACACGCACACACGCACGCACGCACACACGCACACACGCACACACGCACACACGCACACACGGCACACGCGCACACGCACACACTCACCACACGCACACACGCACACACGCACACACGCACACACGCACACACGCACACACGCACACACGCACACACGCACACACGCACACAAGCACACAAGCACACACGCACACACGCACACACGCACACACGCACACACGCACACACGCACACACGCACACACGCACACACGCACACACGCACACACGCACACACGCACACACGCACACACGCACACACGCACACACGCACACACGCACACACGCACACACGCACACACGCACACACGCACACACGCACACACGCACACACGCACACACGCTCACACGCTCACACGCTCACACGCACACACGCACACACGCACACACGCACACACGCACACACGCGCACACGCGCACACGCACACACGCACACACGCACACACGCACACACGCACACACGCACACACGCACACACGCACACACGCACACACGCACACACGCACACACGCACACACACAGAGAGAAACACGTAAGCGCTCTTGGGCTTTCCTGGAGGCCTCTTGAACCCTCGTGGGCCCCTCTGGGCCCGTCTTGGACCCCCCTGACCTTTGGGAATATCACACGGGGCAGCCCAGGAGCGCGCGGGAGCGCCCAGGAAATTTGCGAATCTGGGGTCCCAGCCCCTAGAATACTAGAATCCTCCACTCCTGAGTACAGAGAACAGAGAGCACATGGGAGCCTGGGGGTAACTCAACTTCGTGCCTCGAGGCACGTTGGCGGATGATTCTAGGAATATACTTGTCTGTGCGTTTTTTTGTAATTTCAGTGTGTTTTCCTGATCTCTGTTTCTGGGGTCCCTTTCTCGCCCCCCCGGGCCATCAAGCACATATCCTGAACGCAAAGTTGCCCCCCCGAGGAAAAGGTCGGGACTTCGAGGGCCGCAGACTAAACGCGTCTTCGGGGTCAAAGGAGGCCCTTACAACATGACAGCGGGCTTGCACCGCTCAGCCCAGATCCGTCCGCAGTTCCTCGTTCCTCCGATCTTCATCTTCTCCCTTCCATACCTTCTTCCTCTTCCAAACGATCATCCTCTTTCTCTCTCTCTCTCTCTGTTTCTTTCTCCCCCTTCTGTCCGCTCTCAGTTCCCAATTCTTCCCGCTTCTTTATTTCCCCTCCTCCCAACCAGATCCGAAACATAATTCCCCAACACCATAGAACAACAACACACAGCACACAACAAACTGAACACCAGTCCTTGGCATCTGTCTTGTCAGTCTGTTCGTTTACGGTTTTCAATGGCCCCGCTTTGAAGTGGGGATGCTGGTTGTGTTGCGGAGAAGGAGGACGAGGAGGAGGAGGGGGAGGATGAGGAAGAGGATGCGGGGGAGCAGCAACAGCAGGAAGAGGCGGAGGAGGTGGAGGAGGAGGAGGAGGTGGACGAGGCCATGCTGTGAATTCATGAACATCGCAGGGGACCGAAGCGAGCTTCTTGCAGAACAAATCAGACACTCGCTTGCCCCCCCCGCATTCTTCACCGAACACTACCTGACTTGTTCAGGCCATCTTTTCCTTGGGAATCGCGGCGTCGGCACTGACAACGGCCATCGCAACGACCATGGCGATGATCGAGACAGGTTTCCTCTGTCGGTGTTGCAGCCCTACTATTGCTTTCACAACATGTTCCACCACGATTCCCAACCATCCTGTGGTGTTGGGTCCTCGTTTTGAGGAGACAGCGCCCCGCGTCTCACCTCACCTCACCTCCCGCGTTCCTCCTCCTCCTCCCTCCTCCCCTCCCTGCCTCTGCTCTCTCGCATGCCAATTTCGGCGCACCCCTCACACGTTTCGTCGCCACATAGGGTGCTCCACCGAAGGCCCCAGTGGCAGGATCCGCATGCAGTTCCACCTCCATTTCGGCACACCCTTCTCACGTTTCGTGATCCCATAGGGTGCTCCACCCAAGGCCCCAGTGGCAGGGTCCGCATGCAGTTCCACCCCCATTGCGGGACTCCTCACACGTTTCGTGGCCACATAGGGTGCTCCACCGAAGGCCCTTTGGCAGGGTCTGCATGCAGTTCCACCTCCATCCCGGCGCACCCCTCACACGTTTCGTGGCCCCATAGGGTGCTCCGCCGAAGGCCCCAACGGCAGGGTCCGCATGCAGTTCCACCCCCATTTCGGCACTCCTCACACGTTTCGTGGCCACATAGGGTGCTCCACCGAAGGCCCTTTGGCCGCATGCAGTTCCACCTCCATTTCGGCGCACCCCTCACATGTTTCGTGGCCCCATGGGGTGCTCCACCCAAGGCCCCCTGTGGCAGGGTCCACATGCAATTCCACCCCCATTTCGGCGCACCCCTCACATGTTTAGTGGCCCCATAGGGTGCTCCACCCAAGGCCCAGTGGCAGGGTCCGCGTGAAGTTCCACCTCCATTTCGGCGCACCCCTCACACGTTTCGTGGCCACATAGGGTGCTCCGCCGAAGGCCTCAATGGCAGGGTCCGCATGCAGTTCCACCTCAATTTTGGCATACACCTCACACGTTTCGCGGCTCCATAGGGTGCTCCACCGAAGGCCTTTGTGGCAGGGTCCGCTAGCAGTTCAACCCCCATTTCGGCGCACCCCTCATACGTTTCGTGTCCCCATAGCCCGTAGAGTTTTCCATTCACGTCCCCCTGTGGCAGGGCCCGCATGCAGTTCCACCCTTCATTTCTGCGCACCCCTTTCACGTTTCGTTGCCCCCAAACGCCCTAGTGGCAGCGTCCGCACGTGGTTCCAACTCCATGTCGGCGCACCCGTCACACGTTTCGTGGCCTCACATGGGGCTGCACCGACGGTTCTGGTGGCAGCGTCCGCATGGCGTACCCGTGCCACTTTGGGCACACCCGTCACACGCGTCGTGGCCCCAGAGAGAAGTTCGCCGTTGACGAAACCCACAACTGCTTTACACACATCTGCACATGATTGGGTCCTTCGCCTGGATATTTTTGTTCTGCACCCGGTAGCACAGCTTTCACGACAACTACGACGGTTGCTATTACAGCTCTTACTGCATCTCCTACTGCACATTTCTACTAAGCCCTACTGCAGCCAGCAGCAAGCAGTTCAGCAACCAACCAGCCAGCAAGCAGTACAGTTCCGACTACAACTCTTACTATACATCCCAGAACAGCTTCTGTTGCCGTTTCTGCTGCAGGTCTTACACCTGCTATTCCAGTAGTTCGCACAGCTCTCACTGCACTTCTTACCACAGATCCTGCGACAGTTACGTTGACACCTCCTATTTCATATCCAAGTGCAGCTTACGCAGTCAAGCAGTGAGCTCTCAGTGCAGCTGAACCTTTAGACAGCGTGACAGCGCTCGCTACAGCTCTTACTGCAGCCTCCCTGCTTCACCTTCTACAGATAAGGCTTTCTCCATGGTCGATCACAGCCAGCAGCACATTTCCTCCACAGACTTCCTTCTTACAAGTATCCCAGCAGTTATTACGGCAGCTCCTACTGCGGATCTTGTTACAGCTGAGTGTACAGCCTTCAGTACATCTCATACTAGAGTCACTATTATTGTTTGTTGCTCATCGTATTACAAGCAGTACACATCCTTCAGATCTTGCTACAGCATTCTCCGCAGATCTTACTCAAGTTCCTTCTGCAGCTGGTACCAAAGCTCTACAATATATGCCACTGGGAGTCTCACTGCAGTTCCTGCTGCAGCCATCAGGACATCTCCTGATACAGCTCCTGAAACACGGCAACTTGTTCTACAGTTTTCATTCTAGGTCCTCCCACAATTCCTGCAACAGCTCCTACACCAGTTCCTATTACAGCAGTAGCATAACAGCTGTAACGACACCTCTTGCTACAGCCCCAGCGACAGTTAGTGGCACACAACCTAGGACACATCCGAACGCACTCCTTGTTGCAATTCCCGCGGCAGCAGCAGCATGGCTTTCAGTACTGTTGCAGTTTGAGCGCCTTCTGCATTTTCAGCCGGAACCACGCGTGCAGATTTCGACGATGTGCGGGCTCCACGCGGGGATGCCCCGTGCGAGTGGTGACGGCGCCGGAGGAAAGCACATGCATCATGCTGCATAATATTTGCCACTGCAGGTTGGGGGCCTTGGACCTCGAGCAGCAAGAAGCAGCTCTCGGGTGATGTCTGGGCGCAGACGTGCAGCTGAGGATGCGACCCCGGGGAGGTTCGATTTATCGTGGGACGAATTTTTAGACCATTTTGGAGTGTTTTAGGATGTTTTTAGACTATTTTGATTTTCAGTCTAAAATCGGCCTGTAGGGGGACAGGCCCGACTGAACTTTAGTACCTGGATAACCCAGCTTACTGTTGCTCGATCTGGCTTGCTCCTGTTTTCAACCTAGGCTGGTTCAGCCCAGTGTGGCCCTTCGTTCGGGCCTCGTCGATTTGAGCTGTTAGTGCGAAGACCTCCCAGGAGGGTGTGTGAAAACAGACGTGCAGCGGAGGAAGACAGTGCCTCGGGCGGGGCTGGGACAAGGATACATTCACTCCTGAGCCTTCTGGAGCGCTCTCTCAGAGCCTCCGGGGACGTTCGGTGAAGGCCGCGGCGCCCGAGACATCTTCCAGAACCGTCAGATCTCAGAGATTCTCGATCCGTCCTCGTCTGAATTTGTCGTCTTCGTCCTGGCTTCGTCTCAGTGCCCGCCTCCTCCGCCTCCTCCTCCTCCTCCGCCTCTTACGGGGCCTCCTCGGAGCTCGCCCCTTGGAGCATCGGGGTACGCCCCCTGCTGGCCCCATGAGAAGTCTGGGTCTGTGGCAAACTTTACTCGCAGGGGATTTTGCAAGCCGTACCCCGCAGCTCCTCTGCGGGCGTTTCGGCGTCGACCCCCCTCTCTGTGTGCGGATGTCCCGCCCTGCCCCGTCCGCGCGCGCGGGGGCGGAGGTGCTGGCCGTGATGCTGCTGTCGCTGAAGGCGGGCCTGTGCCCGCCGCCCGCGCCTACGCCGCCCCTTTGCGGGATGGATCGCCCGCGTGAGGGCCTGTTCGGTGGGGGTGGGGGGCAGGGGAGGAGGAGGTGCCCATGGCCCCTGCCCTTCGCTCGTTTTCCGCTTGGTGGGCCTCCTGGGAGGCCCTCGTCGCCACCGCCGGCTTCGCCCCGAAGTTCTGGTCAGGATGCACCCCGGGAGAGGTCCGGGGAGCAGCGGTATCGGTGCCTTTAGGTTTCCCCAGGAGAGGGACCAGATGCGGAGAACATGTGTCGGCGGCGAGCTCGGGGGGGAGTTTCTGTTTTGTTGCATTGGCTTTGTCGCATGCGGAGATTAGCTTTGGTCTCAGAACATCCGTTTCTTCTACGAACATGTGTTGTCGCGTGAAAGGCCTATAGGAATGCCGGAAGGCCCGGTCCCTGCTCAAAAGGAGGTATCTTGCATTATTGTCGGTGCCGCTGGTGACCCTTCCCAGCGGCGAGCCTGGGGGGGAAGTGAGAAGGGGCGAGCCTTCTCAGAAGTCTCGGACGTCCCCCCGCCTTCTGAGCAGGTTTCTGAGCCTTCCCCGGAGACACGGACATTTTCTGAGAAAGCGCGAGGGTTTCCGAGAAGTCCCGCCGCCCTCTGAGAAGGCCTCCTCCTTCTCACTTCCCCTCCTCGCTCGCCGCCGAACCTGGAAACGTCTTGGTGTCTGAGGTGGCTCAGCACTGGTCTGGCCAGCATTAAGGGCGGGCAGGTCCGAGGCTCGAGTTATCCCAATCACAGGCTTGAAATCGTAAATTTGTATATTTCTTCGGTCCTGTCCTGGGCCTCCGCGGGGACACCTCGGTGCCTCCCGCCAGGGGGCGTCTCCAGCCAGAGGGGCACGGCGTCTCTCGTGAGGAGCGAGGAGTGGCGATAGTTACGCGCCTTGAGATCCGGGCGTTGCATTTTTTCACATATGGCGTTTTGTCAGGCTTCGGGCCCCAGGACCTTCACAGATTGATCAAGCTCGAAAAATTCAGCAGGAAGATGGGGTCTAGAGCTCGGGCCGTGATTCTTCGTGATGTTCTATTGTGAAGGCCTGACGGCCGGTGCTGCCGACCCTGAAAGATATCGACGACGACCAGGAGGGGGAGGAGGAGGAGAAGGAGGAGCAGGAGGAGGAAGAGGAGGAGGAGGGGGCACGAGGAGGAGGCGGAGATAAGGAGGAGGAGGAGGAAAAGGATGAGGAAAAGGACTCCCCCTTGAGACCCCCCCCCCTGGGGAGGAGGACCGGAGGAAGACCGGCGTGGGAGAGGGGAGGACCCCCAGGGATGGATGCGTATTTGACCCCCCTCCCCCCCCTGGGACTCCTCCCCACACCTGGCCTGGGGAGGAGGACCCGAGGAGCATCAGCGCGCCAGAGAAGGACCGGCGTGGGAGAGGAGGACCCCCAGAGGCGATGCGAATCTGACCCCCCCACCTGCCGGGGAAGGGACACAGGGAAGGGGCTTCCCTTTGACGTAATGAGGACGTGGATGGAATTCCCTCACGCTGCGAACCCGTCCCCCGAACGAGGAAGGGTGCTGCTCTCTCTCTCTCTCTCTCTTTCTCCCCCGACGGGAGGGGACGATAGAGGGGTTTCCGTCGACCGGGCCGGACAGATCCCACACACGACGACAGGGTCGGCGGTTTTTTCCCAGCAAAATGGGATTTCAGAGTCAGTCGAGAATGGCGCCACTCCCCGGCTTTCTCGTCCACTTTGGCCTCCCGGAGGCTTCTCGTCGCCATACGGCTGGGTCCGCCTTAAGAAGGGCCATGGGCCCCGGCAGGGGCCTATAGGGATCGATCCTGAGCGGACTGGGGCTGGCGGGAGAGCAGTTGTTGCGTCATCTCGCCCTCCCCCCGTGCCAAGATTTCTGGTTTCTTTTGATGTCCTCCCGCGCGGCCATGAGACAAGTGGCCGGGGGCGATTGGCCGAGGGCCGGAGGACACTCGCTGCTACTTTTTATCCCACCTGATGCTACTTTTTCCTCGCCGCAGCGGCTGGAGACACCTCGCCCCTGGAGAGGTCTGGGGAGTAGCGGTATGTGGTATGGGTATTTGCTTGTCCCCCCCAGAAGGGGAGGAGCAGGATGAGGATGAGGACGGAGAGGATGATGAGGATGATTGAAGGGAGCGAGGATGATGAGGTTGGGAGGAGGATGAGGAGGACGTGCAGGATGATGATGAGGATGGGGGTGAGGATGATGATCATTACGCTGATGATGACGATGATGATGATGATGATGTTGATGATGATGACGACGACGATGGTGATGATTATGTTGATGATGATGATGATGCTGATGATTGTGATACCGATCACTGTGATGATGTTGACCATGCTGATGAGCCTGAGGCTGAGGATCATGCTGATGATGATAACAGGGATGATTATCATGATGATGCTGATGCTGAGGCTGATGCTCACGCTTATGCTGATGATTATGCTGATGTTGATGATGCTGATGGTGCTGATGATGCTGATGGTGATGAGGATGAGGACGCTGGTGGTGATGATGATGCTGCTTCTGATCATGATCATTTCGACGTTGTTGATGATGATGTCGATGCTGAGTGTGCTGATGATGATGCTGCGTTGATGATGATGTTGCTGACGCTAATGATGATGACGATGGTGATGACGACGAATACGACGATGAGGATGATGATGACGATGAGCATGCTGACGATGATGATGACGATGCTGATGCTGATGATGATGCTGATGACGATGATGCTGATTTCGCTGATGACGACGATTACGATGACAATGATGGTGATGATTACGATGATAATGATGACGACGATGACGATGATGTTGTTGCTGATGTTTCTGATGCTGATGATGTTGATGTTGATGCCTCTGCTGCTGCTGATGATGTTAATGTTGATGATGAGGATGGGGATGATGATGATGATGATGATGATGATGATGATGATGATGATGATGATAGTGATGATGCTGATGCTGATGCGGATGTTGCTGATGATGCTGATTAAAGTGGTGGTGGTGGTGGTGATGATGGTGTTGCTGCTGGTGATGATGATGATGATGATGATGATGATGATGCTGTTGGTGATGATGATGATGCTGATGATGATGCTGATGATGATGATGCTGATGCTGATGCTGCTGATGATGACGATGATGATGATGATGCTGATGCTGATGCTGATGCTGATGATGATGATGATGATGATGATGATGACGATGATGATGATGATGATGATGATGATGATGATGAGATGATGATGATGATGATGATGATGGTGGTGGTGGTTGGTGGTGGATGATGATGATGATGATGATGATGATGATGATGATGATGATGATGATGATGATGATGATGATGACGCTGATGATGATGATGATGATGATGATGATGATGATGATGATGATGATGATGATGATGATGATGCTGATGATGATGATGATGATGATGATGATGATGATAGTACTGATGATGCGGATGAGGATGAGGACGATAACGAGGGTGAGGATGAGGATGAGGCTGATGACGATGACGACGATCATGCTGCTGATGATGCTGATGATGCTGCTGATGATGATAATAATGCTGAGGAGGAAGAGGAGGAGGAAGAGGAGGAGGAGGAGGAGGACGAGAAGGCGGAGGATGATGAGGAGGAGGAGGAGGAGGAGGAGAGGAGAAGGGAGGAGGGGAGGGGAGGAAGAACAGCTCCGTCGTTCGACGTCTTATTAAGACGCAGCAGTTGCTCACAGGTTATGTTTTCGTGCCAGGCATCAGGAGGCGGAGGTAGAGGAGGCGGAGGAGGAGGAGAGGAGGAGGAGGGGGGAGGGAGAGAGAGGAGAGGAGGATGGAGGAGGAGGAGGCGGAAGGATGGAGGAGGAGGAGGAGGAGGAGGGGATGAGGGAGGACGGAGGAGGAGGAGGAGGGAGGAGGGGAGCGAGGAGGAGGAGGAGGAGGAGGAGGAGGAGGAGGGACGAGAGGACGAGGTGACGAGAAGGAGGTGGAGGAGGCACGATAGCCGCTCGCGGCGCAGGTGCAGGACGGTGCTGCGCTAAGCCTGTAGCGATGAGAAGGAGGGGGAGGAGGACGAGGAGGAGAGGAGGAGGAGGGGGAGGAGGAGGGGAGGAGGAGGCGGAGGAGGAGGAGGAGGAGGAGGAGGAGGAAGGAGGAGGAGGAGGGGGGAGGAGGGGGCGGAGGAGGGGGAGGAAAGGTTGAGGAGGAGGAGGAGGAGGAGGAGGAGGAGGAGGAGATGGTGGAGCGGAGGCGGCGGCGGAGGCGGAGGCGGAGGCGGAGGCGGAGGCGGAGGCGGCGGAGTAAGAGGAGGACGGAGGAGGAGGACGAGGACGGCGACGAGGAGGAGCAGGAGGAGGAGGAGGAGGAGCCGGGGAGAAGTGCAGCCGTCACGACCTGCGCCCGCTCCCGCGCGGCGACAGGTCTTTGGCACCAGCAAGGACCTGGAAGGGGCAAAGAAGCTGGTCGCGGGCCTGGAGGCGGGGAGGCGGCGCGCGGGGCCGCGCCTGTATGCAAGGCTTGTGTCCATGTTCACTGCGTCTTGGACTTCCTGGGAAGGGGCGCTACGAGGCCGAGGCGCAGTGGATCTGGATAAAAATCCAGCCTCGACGGGCCAGATTCTTATCCATATCCATTGCGCCTCGGGTGTCTGGGAAAGGGAGCCCGGAACTCAAAAGATGCAGTGGACATGGATATACACCTTGCCCGCAGCGCCGCGAGCTTCTGTTGATCATCTCGTTTCGGCGGCGCGCCCAGGGGAACGGGGGCCATTGCTCCGGTCGACTTTGCCTTCGATCTTATTTTTTGTTGTCGTGGCATCGTACTTCAGGGAAGGGCATCGTTCTCTGACGTTGTTGTCAGTTCCGATCAGTTTTTCAGCTTCGGGGTGCTTTCCAGCAGCTGCGGCTCGCCGAGAGCGTTCTGGACGGGCACGGATCGTCCCGAGCGACCGCGGGAGGCTTGAGTTGTTGGCCGGAAGCCAAACCTTGGCGGCGCGCGCAGTGCGCAAGGCAGCGGAGGCGGGCCTTTTCAGAAGGCTCAGAAGGCCTCCGGGGCATCCTGGGAAACACTCTGCGCCTTCCTCCGACGCCTCACGAGCGACGCAGCAAAAGTGCGGTCGACTGCGACGACCTTCGCGCGTCAGTTGCCGCGTCAGTTTGCGCGTAAGCGCCCTCGCTTGAGATGTGGCGTTCCTCGCTGGCGGCACCGTTTCTGCCATCGGGCTCGTCATTGTCGTCGCTGCGACGCCCTGGGGCCCTGGTTCCCGAGTGCAGGCCCGACTGCTCTGAAGGCGGCCTCAATGGGTGCTGTTTGATGAACGAGTCGCCAGCCGGGTGAGGCAGTGATCATCGTCGCCATCCTTTTGGTCCTCCGTGTCGCTCCGGTACGACACCGTGCCGAGCCCCCCCCCCGGGTTTTCTTTTTTCTCCTTGGTCCTTTCCCCGATCATTGCTGATGCCTTTTGGGCCCAAGGCTGATCGTGTGCTCTGATAGTGAAGTCCCTTGCGGGGCCGAGATATGCGGAGGCCTCGTGATCCCTCCCGTTGCAGCCGTCGGTGGAGCTCCCATGTGGTGCGCGGTCCGTGTGAGGGGTGTGCCGAAATGGAACTGGGCGGGGGAGCTGCGTGCGAGCCTCCTCTCCGGGGCCGCAAGTGGAGCTTCCTGTGGGCTACGATCCATGTCAGAGGTGTGGCGACGTCGGTGGAGCGGATGCGAGCCTCGTCTCTGGGGCCGTTGGCGGAGCACCCTGGTGGGGCACGTCCCGTTGGAGGGGTCGGCCGACGGCTGCGGGGGGGACGCCGCGCGGGTATCCTCCCAGGTGGGGCCGCACGTGGAGCGTCCCCGTGGGGCACGGTTCTGTGCCGTGCGAGCTGCGACCCCGGCACCGTGGGTGAAGCTTCCTGGGAGGCGCGATCCGCGTGAGGGGCGTCGCGAGGTCGGCCGGGGGGGGGGCTGATGCCAGTCATGCCAGCCCTGCCTGTCTCTGGGGCTGGCAGGCGGCGTGCCTCTGGGGGTGGGGGCACGATGCGTGTGAGGAGCACGTGCGCCGAAATTCGGGGGAGATGCTATGCGACCCCGCCCTCCGCCCTTCCCTTCCTCCGTTCCTCCTTCCTCCACCCGCTCTTGCCCGAGTCTCCTCTCATCCCTCCGTCTGTCTCCTCGCTGCTCCCTCCTCCTACTCGGAAGAGGCCTGATGGCACTTGCGACCTTCAGTCTGGGCTCCCCGCACATTTCCTTGGGTTTCCCTGCCCCTGGGATCTGAGTTCCTTGGGTTCTGGGATTCGTTCGATTATATACAACGCGTTGCGTTTTATTGTATTGCGTTGCATTTCGTCACATTTGCACTTGTGCTGCCTCGTGATTCACAATGCAGTTCATTGGTGCGCATCACTCTGCTTTGCCTTGAACTGTACTCTAGAGCGTTGCCTTGTATTTGCTTTGCTCACTTCTGCTTGCAATCCTTTGCGTTGCATCTCCCCCGCATCCGCTTTCCGTGGCAATGTGTTGCAGTGCGTTGCCATTGCATTGATTGCTTTCTTTTCACTGTTCAGCGTTTCTTCGCAAAGAGTTTTGTGGATTCGTCCTTGTCAGTAATCCGTCTTGGTTCGGTCCGTGTTGACGCTTCTTGACCTTATGGTCAAACCAGTTGTGGGAGACTACTGGGGTGGAGCTGTGAGGTCATCAAGGGCTTGGGCATCCTAGAACCTCAGCGCGCGAAGCGCGCGTGGTTCTAGTTCCGTTGACTTCCGTCTAAGCTTGGTTGTCCCCGCTTAATCGGGCTTAATCCAATCTTGGCTAATCCGGCTGAGTGGCCCCTGCTATGATGCCTGATAGTCCTTAGCCTTACTCCTTCTGCGTCCCAGAAGTTGCCTCCTAAGTCTCCCCTCCCCTCCCCCTCTTCTCCGGAGCGGGGAATTAATGTCACAACCACCGCCTGGGCGATTGATCTTCTCGGGTGCTTCCGTGGGCAGTGCTCAGGATCGTGAGCGACGATACGCAGTGCAACACAGGCACCCAGCCGACTCACAGGAATTGCTCCAGGTCACAGGGCAGGAGGGAAGGGGCCTCCTTGCTTCCGCAGACTGCTTTTCCGGATCGGATCTGTGTCGCAGTGTTTCCCTTTTCCATATCTATTCCGATGCTGGTGTGATCTCTGCTAACGTGACAGCCTCGGTCAGAAGAAGGATACGAATCATAAGACGCACGCGCGCCAGCCGCAGAAGAAGAGTCCGCACACACTCGGAAGCAGGGTCGGAGCTTCCTGCTGGAGTGGCATCGGAGGAGGAGGAGGAGGAGGAGGAGGAGGAGTTGGAGGAGGAGGAGGGGGAGGAGGAGGAGGAGGAGGAGGAGGAAGAGGAGGAGGGGGAGAAGAGGAGGAGGGGGGAGGAGGAGGAGGAGGAGGAGGAGTTGGAGGAGGAGAAGAGGAGGGGGAGGAGAAGGAGGTGGAGGAGGAGGAGGAGGACCGTGGGACTCAGCATGCCTTGACGGGTGCAGGGGCCCGAGTGGCTTGGCCGCCGTGTCCTCTGGGGGGCGGGCCGTGGACCCGGCAAGAGGAGTGAGGGTGCAGCCCGGCGTGCTTGGCTGCCACCACCATAAGTTGGAGGGGGAGGGGGTCCTCCTCCTCTTCTTTTTCGTCCTCCTCCTCCAGTCCTCCTCATCCTTACCCCCTCCACGTCCTTCTTCGTCCTCCTTATCCTCCACGTCCTCTTCTTCGTCCTCCTCCTCTTCTTCGTCCTCCTCCTCCACGTCCTCCTCCTCCTTACCCCCTCCAACTTCTGGTGGTGGTGGTGGTGGTGGTGGAACGCACGCCCATCATTTCCAGGACAGGGGGGGAACCAGACCCGGGTATCTCGGCGGCGGCAAAGAGGGGGATGATGACTAGGGGGTGTGGACATCATGGCGGGGGCCATGATATTTTCCCAGATTTCATGGCGCCAGATTTCAGGCTCAGGTATCAGAGCTCAGGCGATCGCAAACATGGATCAAGGAGGCGTGGACTTGCGGTGGGTCCTGTTTTCATGGGAAATCGCAGGGATTTCCGTCGCCGAACAAGGCGGCACCGGCCGCATTTTGGGGAGGGCACCTCCCCCTGATCCATGGATTTGGCGACCGCGCGCCAAATCCATGGATCGCAAATCCATGGATCGCGCAGGGGGGGGACCAGGATCAGGTCTCCCGGGACGGCAAAGAGGGGGGTGATGACTTAGGGGTGTGTGGAAATCACGGCGGGGGCCGTGATATCTCCTCAGATCTCGTGGCGCCTCTTCTTGTTCCACTGCGTCCCTGGCCCCCCCCTTGGGCCGCGCACATGCCGCTGGCCATGATTTGCGCCCTCCCCCCCCCCCTCTTGGACGCCCCCCTCTTGGCCGCCCCCGAGTATCAGAGCGGCGGGCAACGAAGCAAGCATCAACATGTCGAGTGAAGAAATGGACCTGTGATAGGATGCCAATGCATGAGTTTTCAAGGCGTCGTGCCACGTTCGACGAGGCTTTGACAAGGATGTCGTCCTTGGATGTCATGGTATACGCACTGGAAAAGTCTTTCTCGTGAAGGCCGCATACGACTGAAGGCACATGGAAGAGCTCAGTAACACCCACCTGGATTTGTCAAAGAGGCCAGGGCTGACGGGGTAGCACACCATTGCGCTTGAACGAGTTTCGATGACCTATTCAGCGCCTTTGCTGAGCCTGGAGGAACAGGACCCATTGACGCTGTCATTGGGTAGATGACTTGTTGGAAGCTTTTGAACGGACCATAAGAACTTAACTGATATATTGAAGCTGTCATTGTGGACTCATGTTGCCTCCAACGGATGCGCATGTCGCGCGTCGTGTGCTTCGCTTCGGGTCGCTTCGCCCTTTCCTGTCCTCGGCGACTCCGGCTTTTTGCGTCGGGGAGAGGGGGGGGCCGCGGTTCCCCGGCTCCTCTTGCCTCCCCCCCCTTTCTCTCCCCGCCTTCCCGGCCCCTCCCCCCTGCGTCGACGTCTGGGAAAAGAGAGCTCATGTCACCAGGCGGACCCGGGCACAAGATGCATTCAGAAGGCGCAGCGGAGCTAGCCCTTTGGAGGAGATGTGCGCCTCGGCTTGCTGCCCCCTCCTTCACCCCTCCTGGGTCCATACTTCATTTCCGACGGACGGTAGGAGTGACGACCTACAAACGCCCATACCTTGCCTGTACCTTTACCTTTGCCTTTACCTTTTGCCCTTACCTTTACCTGTGACTTTACCTTTGCCTTTACCTTTACCTTTGCCTTTACCTGTATCTTTACCTGTACCTGTACCTGTACGTGCACTGTTACCTTTAGTTTGACCTTGACCTGGACCTGGACCTTTACCTTTAACGTCACCTCGTCCTCTGCCTCTGCCTCTGCCTCTACCTTCACCTGACCTGTAGAGCGTGTTTCTTTACTGCTTCGGGCATGACGGGCGTCATGGTCCCCGCCGCCCACCCCCCCCATGACGTAACACTCTCCCCAGCCAGTGCGCTCCGGGCACTGCCGCCGTGCGCGTCGGGATCCGTATTGGTGCCCGCATAGGAATCCGCATAGGAGTCTGGTCCGCAGTCGTCATCGTCGTCGTCGTCGTCGTCGTCGTCGTTGTCGTCGCTCGTTGTCGTTGTCGTCGCTCGTCGCTCGTCGCTCATCGTCGTCACGCTGCGGACGAGGCTGGAGCTTGTTCTTTTTATATTCCGGGCAACTGATGGCAATCATCTGGGGGGTTTGGAGGGTGCCGGTGACGTTACGTTTCGCGGCAGCGGCGCCTGGGAATGCTTAGAAATAACCGAGGACGGGTAGCAGCATCATGTAGGTGGGGATCTGCGCTGCGACGCGCGTGTACACCACAGTGCCTGCGTGCACCACAGCGCCTGTGTACACCACATCGCCTATGTACACCACAGCAGCCGCGCGAAACACAACGCCAGTGTGTGCCACAGTGCCTGCGGGCACCACAGCGCTTGTGTTCACCACAGCGCTTGCGTACACCACATCAGCCGTGTGCAAGAGAGCACCAGTGTACACCACAATGTCTTCGTGCACTACACCGCCTGTGTGCACCACGACGCCTGTGTGCACCAGAGCAACCGTGTGCAACAGAGCACCAGTGTTGTCTATAGCATGTTTGAAGGAATCCTTATGACAAAATGGAACGCCTGTGGGTTCCACCGAAAAAATGCTTCATATAGGATTTGCCGTTGCAGTCTACGAGTCCTCCCGGGTCCGCCCGCATCATCCCAGGGCTGACCCTATACGGTGTTTTGGCGATTTCTTGGGCCGTTTTCGTTTCGACTTCGTTTTGCGGGAAAGGCAGATTGAAGACAAAACGACGGAAAACAAAAACAAACGGAAAAAACACCGTGTCGGTGCAGCCCTGCATCATCCTAACTCCTCTCATCTGCGTCCAGAAGGCTGCAGCTACATTGACCGTCCGAGAACAACGTGGACTGATTCAATAGACCATTCTGCGGTGCACGCTGAGATGCGCACGTGCGCTGTAGCGCCGACCCGCACGATAGGGGGGATTGGTGAGGGAAGAAGAGGAGGAGGAGGAGGAGGAGGAGGAGGAGGAAGAGGAGGTGGACGTGGAGGAGGAGGGAGGAGGGAAAACCGTCGCATTCTATTATCAGCATTCCCTGGCGTGGCGTTTAGTTGTCCTCATTTAAATGCTCCTTCTGCCTGTCCTGTGTACGCAAGCGCTGTAGTGTACGCCAGCGCTGCGTTGCACGCGGATGCTGTGGTGTAGACGGGCGGCGTGGTGTGCACAGGCGCTGCGGTGCACGCAAGCATTGTGGTGTACACAGGCGCTGTGTTGCACATGGTTGCTGCGGTGTGTACATTCGATGTGGTGCGCACCGGCGCTGTAGTTCACGTAAGCACTGTGGTGTACACAGGCGCTGCGTTGCACACGGCTGTTGCAGTGTACGCGGTCGCTGTGGTGCACGTGAGCATGGTGGTGTACACAGGCGCTGTGGGGCAGATCGCCATCTACATGATGCTCGCGTCGTCGTCGTCGTCGTCGTCGCTCATCGCTCGTCGCTCGTCTCTCATCGTCGCCGTGCGCGCGGGCGCGGCTGTGGTGCCAGAGCCACACGGCGGGGGGGGGCGGTACGTCATAACCCCCCCGCCCCCCCCATATCGCCCGTCATCGCCGAAAGAAACGCGCTCTTACCTTTACCTTTGCCTTTACCTTTATCTTCATCCTGACCTTTACCTTTACGTTTACTTTTGCCTTTATTTTTACCTTTACTTTTATCGTTACCTATACCTTTTTTTTTACGTGTACCTGTACCTTTACCTTTACCCTTTTTTTTCACCCTTACCTTCACCTTTTACCTTTACAATTACCCTTGCCTTCCCCTTACCTTTACCTTTACCTTTACCTTTACCTTTATCCTTCTATTTAACCTTACATTAACACTTACCTTCACCTTTACCTTTACCTTTACCTTTACCTTGATGTTTACCTTTACCTTTACCTGTACCTTCATATGCATCTTTATATTTAGCTTTATACGTATCTTTATATGTCTATGTATATTTCCCTTTACCTGTACCTTTACCTTTACCTTCACCCTTTACCCTTTCCCTGTTTTCCCTTGCCCTTACCCTTACCTTTACCTTTACCTTTACCTTTACCTTTACCTTTACCTTTACCGTTACCTTCACATTTACCTTGATGTTTACCTTTACCTTTACCTTTACCTTCACCTTCACCTTCACCTTCACCTTTATCTTTACCTTTTTCCTTTTACCATTACCTTCACCTTCACCTTCACCTTCACCTCACCTTCACCTTCACCTTTACCTTACCTCACATTACTTTACCTTGCATTGCCTTGCCTTGCCTTGCCTTGCCTTGCCTGCCTTGGCCTGACCTGGCCTGGCCTGACCTGACCTGACTTGACCGTACCTTACCTTGCGTGACCTGACCTGACCTGTCCGGACCAGACCGGACCTGACCTGACCTGACCGGATCGGACAGGACCGGACCGGACCGGACCAGACCTGACCTGACCTGACGTGACCTATATTTACCTCGCCTCACCTCGCTTCACCTCACCTCGGCTCACCCCACCTAACCTTGCTTTACCTCACCTTACATCGCCCCACCTTGCCTTACCTTTCCTTACCTTACCTGACCCTACCTTGCCGCCTTGCCTTACCTTGCTGTACCTTGCCTTACCTTACCTAATTCACCTTCCCTCATGTTGTGTTATACCTTACCTTACCTTCCTTTACCTTACCTTACCTTACCTTACCTTTCCTTACCTTACCTTAACTTACCTTACGTTACCTTGCCTGACCGTACCGATTGTTACCTTACCGTTACGTACCGTACCGTACTGTACCGTACCTTACCTTACCGTACCTTACCTTATCTTGCCTCATTTTACCTCCTCTTCCTCGTCCTCTCGTTTCCTCCTCCTCCTCCTCCTCCTCCTCCTCCTCCTCCTCCTCCTCCTCCTCCTCCTCCTCTCTCCACACCCCCTGCCTCCAGAGGCAGGGGTGGGCGCGGGGAGGGCGAGGCCCCCCAGCGCAGCCGCGAGCGGTGGGCGCCCCCCCCCCACACCTACACACACGTACATCCCGCGTCTGGGCGCGGGGGGGAGATCTCATACCCCAAGAGGGCGACGAATCGGAGGAGGACCAGAGGGAGGGAGGAGGAACAAAGAGCGTTTAGGTGGACGAGGGCGAGGAGAAGCAGAGCGAGGCCAAGGAGGTCTGGATGCCCTTCGAAATTTTGTTGCCGGACGTCTCTCGAGGACTTCTTGGGAGGGAGTCGTGGGCGACAACATATCCGTATCCGTGGCCTCGCGGGGCGGGCCCCCGGGGTCGCGACCCTCCGCGGAAGCGGGGCGCTTTTCTTTTTGCGGATGCCCCGCGCAGAGCGCATCTCGAGGGAGGCCGAGCTTCGAGGGTCGAGCTCCGAGGATCGATCCTGACGGGATCGAGCCTCGAGGCATCGAGCCTCGTCGGCCCCCCGAGGGGCCCGACCCCCTCCCAGACGGCCGGCTGCCGCGCGAGGGCACGGGCGGCGCTTCGCGGGCGGCGACGTGGGCCGGGATCCGCAGCGCGGACCGCCCGCGCTTTTCCGCATCCCTCCCGCCGCCGCCGCGCCTCGGGCCGCGCCGCTCGTGGCCCCGCCTCCCCTGGCGCGGTTCCTCCTCCTTATCCTGCTCCTCCTCCTCCTCCTCCTGCTCCTCCTCCTTCTCCTCCTCCTGCTCTTCCTGCTCCTCCTGCTCCTCCTCCTCCTCCTCCTCCTCCTCCTGCTCGGCGCTCGCCCCCCGCCCCCCAGGGCGGTCGCCTTTGGAGGGGGTGATCAAACGAAGAATCTGAAGGCTGCGAAACACGGCTGTGGGCCCCCCAGGGGGCGGCTTAACCGGGTACCTTGGCCGCTCTGGGGGGAGGTAGACGGCTCCTCCTGCTCCTGCTCCTCCTCCTCCTGCTCCTGCTCATCCTTCTGCTCCTGTTCGCCTCCTCTTCGTCCTGCTCTCCTGCTCTTCTGTTGCTCTTCCTTCTCCCGATCCTCTGGCTCCTGCTCCTTCTCATCAAAGTCTCCAGGAGTGGGTCCGGGATGGCCGACAAAACATGTTTTTGGGAAGTGGTGGGCCGTGTATTGAAGGGACAAGCGTTATCGTCGGACGTCTGGGTCGCCGTCCTCAGACCCTCGGCGTCGTAATTGTTTCACAACGTGGCACCCCCTGAGGCCTGGACCCCTTCTCTGAGACCAGCTTCTCATCCCGCTCCGTTTTCTCACGGTCCTGGGGCGTGGCGAAGGCCCTAGGAGAGACGGGAAACGTCCAAAAGCCGCCCGTCGCGATGTTTTCGCGATGCCAGTGGTGTGTGTGGGTGGGTTGCAGCCAAAACCGATAGTAAGGACGGGTAACCTTCCCAAGGGCACCCTTGCATCGTTGCCTCCTCGGTCCGTCCCTACCCCCTTTCGACGCCCAGCCCCTCTCGAAAACCTTCGACGTGCGTGCCCAAGGGGCTTGCATCCTCACCGCGCATCCTTCCTATCAGTTTTGATCGTAAGGGGGTCAAGCCCGCCCCCCGACCTCTCGGCGGGGTGCGCTCGGGGCAGGATGTCGAGAGGACCCAGGCCGTGGCCACGAGAATCCTCAACGCACTCCCAACATCTGCAAGTCTCGGGAGCCTTTGGCTGGGGGTACACGGGGGTCCGCCAAAGCGCGGGATCCTGCAACATCCGTGGTACATTGACCCGGGCCAGCGCGCAGGATCTTGCAGGATTTTGCGCAGGATTCTGCAACGCCAGACCGATCCGGGTTTTTTGTTGACCGGGGTCAGTCGGTCCCCGAACAAAATGATTTTGCAAGCTTACGCCACATCCGCCGACCCCTTGTTTTTATATAGCCTTTATCGTCGGCTGTGGTGGCCGCCTTCACGGCGGCTGTATGTGGTTTCATGAGTAGGGTGTTTTGAATTAACCGTGGTTTCGGGGTCGTGTTTGAAAAGGCACGGAACTTGATAATTCCCGTAACCCCTGCAGATGCGGATAGGAGTGAGGGGCTGCTTCGAGAAGGAGTTCCCGCGGCAGGGGCACATCAGTGGCATGCAGGAGACGGAACACCTGACGAGGGGAGTGAACGTAGTTAGTGTGCGCAGATAGCAAGGATTTTGGTTTCACGGCGCGCAGTTGGTAGGCGTATCAGTGCAGCGGCACGTTCAAGAACAAACTACCGAATTTGGAGTTATCCGCGAGGCCTGACAATGTCGCGCGGGACGAAAAAGACACAATGAAGTGCGACCCGTGCGTATGATGCGCATTCTAGCACCCGCCCCGCGGTTCGTCGAAGTAGGGCCGGAAGGGTGGAGCGAGAGGGAGAGCGAAGCCTATGAGGCGGAGGAGGAAGCTGAAAAGGAGGGAAACGCAAAAGGAGGAGGGAGAGGAGGACGAGGGGTGGGAGGGGTGGAGGGATATCGGGGATGAGGCGGAAGAGGATGACGAAGACAGGAGGGGGACGAAGAGTGCAGATCCAGTGTTGGGGCCTTCAGTGGGGCCTCCGGGGACCGTCGGGGGCAACGCCGGCAACCCCAAAGAGCATGTGTGCACCCTGGATCTGGACACGTTGTGCGGGCTTCCTCGCCGCGAAGTCTTTCATAGTTTTCGGTCCATCCTGACCTGGTTGTGCGTCAGAGTCTCGGGGATTTTTCGTGGGGGTTCTTCGGGGCGCTCTCGGTGGGCGAAAGGGGGGGGGGCAATGTCAGAGTCCTGGCGGGAATTCTGTGGGGTCATTGTATTTGCCGCGGGTGACATGCGCAGTGTTCGCCGTGGACGCATGATTATCGAATGGCCTGGGCACGTCGCCGCCTGGGTTCCTCGCCTCCACGGAAGGACCGATGCACACGACGCGAGGGCTGCCACCAGGACCCCACCGCGTCGTGACAAAATATCACGACGGGCGGATTCATATACCGTTTTCCGCCTGTGGGGGGACCCTCGCGTTCGTTTCGGCGCACCTCTCGCACGCTCCGTGCCCCCGGGGCTCCGCTGGAGGCCCCAGTGGGGGGCAGGCTCGCACGGCAGTCCGGCGCACCCCTCGCACGCTTCGTGGCCCCCCCAGGAGCTCTGCCTGTGGCCCCAATGGGTACGCTCGCACGCGCCACGGTGGGCATTCTGGCACACCCTTCACGCGTATCGTGCCCCACAAATCGGGGGTTGCTATAGGTGCCCCTGGCCCAAGATGCCCCCAGTTTTTCGCTCCATCGCCCCATTTTCGAGCACCTGGGGCCCTCCTGGCCTCGTGGGAGGTTTTCTGGAGGCCACTGGGGGCCTCGTTGGGGGTCCCGGGGGCGCCCTGGGCCAGGAGCACTTCTGGCAGCACCCGGGCACGGCGCTCCACCTCTGCGGCCCCCGCGGAGTGGCTCGCGCGGCGCCGCCTCGCCACGCCGCGCGTGCGTTGTGCCTCCCAAAACGGGGTGCCTTTCTGCTTCCAGGGTGGAGGGGCTCGCGCTGCGCCACCGCGCTCATCCCTCGGAGCAGGGAAGGGTGCGCATGCCTCTCTATCTTTCCCTCGTGTTCCCTTTTGTTCGGGCCTCCTGGGAGGCCCTCGTCGCCACCGCCGGGTTCGTCTGGAAATCCTGGTCATAACGCACCCTGGGAGAGGTCCAGGGAGTAGCGGCATCGGTAATCTCGTCGCACCTTTCGCGCGGTCGGTCCCCGATAGGAAGCCACGCCAATGGCCTGAAATGTGTGCCGGTGCGCGCGGCGCTGTGACTCGCACTGGCCATTCTTCTAAGTGTCCTTCCTCTTCTCCCTGCCCACGTCCTGCTCCGTGACGCGCTCATCGTCGCTCTCCCCACTGCGAGTGGATTTGTGAGAGTGCATGCGTGAATGGGGGAGTCTGTTTGCGGCCTGGCCGTCTGAGGCGAAGTGGTTGGGGATATGGCAGATCCTTCCACGCGTGCTTGCGTGTTGAGCCGTCCTGTTTGTAGCTGCCCTTCGTTCAGATAGGGTTGTGTTTTTGTTTCGCCACGCTAATTGTTCAGTCCGCGGTCCCAGAGTTCCCGACCCCTTCCCCTTCGTCCCCGACATATTTTTGATGGCACCGTGATCCGATAACGGGGGCCTCAGGAACCGAATTCGACGGGAAACCGCCAGAACTGAACACATCGGGTGTTGTAGAAGTGCCCCTGGCCCAAGGTCCTTTGAGGGTGTCCAGGGAGGCCCCCGACGGCCCCCGGAGCACACCCTGGGCCAGGCGTACCTTCAGCAACCCCCGAACAGACCAGATCCTCACAGGATCGGGGACGGCAGACGTCTGCGGGAGGAGGAGCCGTGACCCGGTGGCCTTCGCCTGCCGCGGGCTTCGGTGGTTCCGACCCGAGGAGGTGTCGGTGCTGCAGAGGCTCGACTTCCGCACCTGCGTGCCCACCTCTCGGGACCTGCTGGACCGGCTGCTGCGCGATCTCGAGGACTCTCCTCGCCCCTCCTCCTTCCCAGATCCTCCTTCTCGACCCTCCTTGATCCTCCTCCTCCTCCTCGATCCTCCTCGATCCTCCTCGATCCTCCTCCTCCTCTGCCCTCCTCCTCCTCCTCTTCGGCCCTCCTCTTCGATCCTCCTCCTCGACCCTCCTCGTCCATGCTCCTCCTCCTCCTCCTCCTCCTCCTCCTCCTCCTCCTCCTCAGGGCAATGTTGGGGGGAACGCTTCGGGCTTTTGAGGCTCGAGGTTTTCGGGCACTTTCGTTGGCTCTCGGTGCTCTGCCAGCCTCGAGGTGCCTTCCAGCGGCTGTGACTCGGCGAGGGCGTTTCGGGAGTGTATCATCTCGAACGGCTGCAGGAGAGCCGATTTATAGTCTTAAGTCGGGCCTGTCCCTCTACAGGAGGAATATCCAAAAATAGGCAGAACTAGTCAGGGGACGATGTTTTGGTTTTTACTATTTCTGGTAAGTTTGGAGTATTTTTTTACTATTTTTTGTTTTTCGTCCAAAACCTGCCTGTAGGGGGACATGCCCGATTTAATTATAGCCCGCAAACCAGGGGGCAACCATAGGGCTGGCCTGTGCTTGGGGGGGACGCATCGACCCTCAGCCGTCAGGGAATGGTTCGGGATAGAACAATCAGGCCGGGGAAAAAGGGTGGAGAGGTTCTGGGGAGCCTTGAGGCGGGGGTCGATGCAAACGGGGGTCAGCCAGAGCGCCGGATCTTGCAGGATCCTGCCAGGCCAGGGTCGCATTGCCCCCGGGTTTGGGTGCAGGATCCTGCAGCATCTTGCAGGATCCTTCACATTGACCCGGGTTTGGGTGCAGTATCTTGCAGGATTCTGCAAGGCCTGACTGACCCAGGTCTGGATTGACCCGAGTCAGCAGGTCCCCGAGGTTCGAGGGGCCACGCATCGAATAAATCGATGCGCTGGACGCTGGGGTGCCGCGCCCTCCCAATCCTCGCCTCCTGCCCTTGTCCACCCTCGCCGCTGCCCGCTCCCCTCCCTTCCTTTACAACTGCACTGTATGCGCACTAGTTGCTTCTCTCTCAGCCCTGATTTTGCGCCAGCGTGCCCCCACCCATATCGCGTCTAGCGTTTCACACACAGGCTTTCAATCATTGGTTTACCATCTATGTTTTTTTCTAACGGCACGTTTCCAGAATCGGTGCTTTGCACCCGTCGTTCACAATGGCGTGCTCGCGATAGCGCGGGCCACATGTCTGTATTCGATTCTTTCGCAGGCGTTGTCGTCCCCCCTTTCCCTGCTTCTCTTCCACTGATCCTCCTGCTCCTCCTCCTCAGCCAGCCCCTGCTGCTGCTTATCCTCCTTCCTCCTCCTGTTCCTCCTGCTCATCCGCCACTTCCGTTAGAATTTGGGCCTGCTAGACTGGATGGAAGAGCGTCGCAGAGCAAGCGCACAGAAGTCAAACCACGGCACGAGAGCAGGAAGGCAAAGCTGGGCACATGTTGCACCGGGATGAGAGCCAGCAGATCACACTCAGGGGCTCGCAGAGACGGGGTGAATTTTCATAGAGTGGGGTCAGGGAAGAAGTCAAAGCTGAATGCCCACATTTCCCTGATAGCCCAAACCAGCGTTTGGCATGGGCCAAGGTCTCGCGTGTTGGCTCATCTATCGCACATTGACCCTCATGTGATTCTGGGTTTGCCTGGTGCATGTGGTTGGGCACCCGTGGTGTGTTGGCAAATCAGGATTGCCAGGTTGCTGAGCCCCCGAGGATATTGCAGCGCTGCGAGCTGCCTCGCTGCGCTGTTTTGTAAGGGGACCCTTCTGCAGGGGCAGCTTGCATCCTTCAGTTCTGACCATCCTTTCACGTTTTCGGCTTCCCCATCCCAAGGATAGCCGTGCGGGCGTGCGCGTCCTTGGTTTGCGCGCTTGCGTTCTTGGTTTTTCGTTGAGGGTCGATGCGTTTTGTGATGTTGGCACCTTCCAGGGATCTGATCGCCTTCAACTCCTTGTGCATCGCCGATGTTGACTGCAGCACGCCTTTGCATCTCCCCAGAACGCTCGTTTCGCAGAGGGCCCGCGCAAGAGACGGGCAGATGCTGTCCCTGAAGTGCAACAGAGTATCAGTGACATGCTGCCCTGCCGCTGGGAGTGCGTCGGTGTGCTGCCCCTTCGCTTTTGGCCGAAGGCCGGGTGCGTCTCCAGCACCAGCATGCTAATGGCTTCCACACGGCGGCGCGCCACTGATATTGTTTCTGCTCCCCCGCCGTCGGTGTTTCTTCACCGAGGACCCGTGAGCAACGCTGACGCGGAGGCGCCGCCAGGCCGCCCACCTGTGGACCGCCCGCTCAGCGCTCGCCCGTTGCCGCCCGCCGAGCGCGGCAGGACCTCAAACCCTTCGCCCGACTGGACTAGCCGCACCGGCAGGAGGCGGAGAAGGAGCAGATGCGCTGGAGGAGGCGGAGGAGGATGCAGCTACGAGCGCAGGAAACAACACTACGAGCGCATGATGATGATGATGGGATGATGATGATGATGATGATGATGATGATGATGATGATGATGATGATGATGATGATGATGATGATGATGATGATGATGATGATGATGATGAGGAGGAGGAGGAGGAGGAGGAGGAGGAGGAGGAGGAGGAGGAGGAGGAGGAGGAGGGAGGAGGAGGAGGAGGAAGGAAGGAAGAGGACAATGAGGAGGAGCAGCAGAGGCAGCAGGAGGAGTAGGAGGGGCAGGAGGAGGACAATGAGCAGGAGCAGGAGGCGAGAAGGAAGAGGAGGAGGATGAGAAGGAGGAGAAGGAGAAGGCGGAGGAGGAGGAGGAGGCAGAGGGAAGGGGAGCCGGAGGAAAGGAGGAGGAGGAGGAGGAAAAGAGAAGGAGGAGGAGGACTCGAAGGACGGCGGAGGACGGCGGAGGACGGCGGAGGACGGTGGAGTAGGAGAAGGAGGAGGGGACGGCGGTGGAGGAGGAGGAGGAGGAGGAGGAGGAAGAGGAGGAGGAGGAGGAGGAGGAGGAGGGAGGAGGAGAGGAGGAGGGGGAGGGGAGGGGGAGGGGAGGAAACCGTCCCCGATCCCCGGGGGATTCCTCGCCGCGAGCCCCCCGAGGAGCCGCGGGCCGCACGCGCCGCCGCGGGAAGCCTCGCGGGCCTCGCGGGCTTCTTGCTGGAGCTGGGCACCGTGCACGACCCAGCGGCCGTCTACGGCCCGGGGAGGCCGCCGGTGCCGCGCGACTCTCAAGGGCAACGCCCCCCTCCTCTCCCTGCCTGCTCCTCCCTCCGCCTCCTCCTCCTCTCCTCTCCTCCTCCTCCTCTCCTCCTCCTCCTCCTCCTCCCTCCCTCTCCCTCCTCCACCCTCCTCCTTCTCCCTTCTCCTCCTCTCTCCTCCTCCCCTCCTCCTCCTCCTCCTCCTCCTCCTCCTCCTCCTCCTCCTCCTCCCCCTCCTCTTCCTCCTCTCTCTCATCTTCCTCCTCCCTCCTCCTCCGCCCCGGCGGTCAAGCCCGTCAGGAGTGCGCAGGTTGCGGCTGACGAGGCTTCCAAGCGCCTTCTGCGGGCCCGCAGCGAGCTGGAACGCAAGAAGCAGGCGGCCCAGGCTGCGCTGCAGGCGGCCTTCGACCAGGAGAAGCTGGTCGCCAAGCTACAGGTGGAGATGGATGAGCTCGTCGAGAAGGCCAGGCGGGTCATGGCCGAGCCGCCTGCTGCTGCTCTGCCGCGCGCAGAGGACCGCTACGTCGCCGACGTCACCAAGTACAGGGACTTGGTGGGCACCGTCTCGGGCGCCCTCGGCGGAGTCGAGCTTGGCGAGCTGGCTGGCCCGCTCAAGTCGCTCCTCGCCGCGCTCCAGCAGGATGAGGCCGCTTGCGAGGCGTCGGGCGCCCCGCCAGCCGCTGCTGTGCCTTCCCCTGCCGTCGCTGCGGCAGGTGCTCAGCCTGGGGCAGCGGCTCATGAAGCAGTTCTGGGAGGCGAGCACAAGGCTGCTGGCGATGACGACGAAGACATGGAGAGCCTCAACCTGTCCCCTGAGGCCTTCGCGGCGCAGGTCGAGGCCTTCTGCGACGGCGACGCCGACAAGAGGAAGTGGCTCGAGGCGTTCCGCGACCGCTGCTGTGCCGACAAGAAGCAGAAGCTGGGGTAGCAGCATATGGCGGCTGGCGACGCTCAACATGAACGCCTTCAGCAACTTGGACAGGTGCCTCACGGAGCAGAGCAGCGGGTGCAACGTGCTGCTCTTTCAGGAGACCCGCCTCAGCGGGGCGCGCACGACGGATGCTGAAGGGGAGCTTCGTCGTCGGGGATGGCGTGCCGCGGGTGCTGCGGCCCAGGCGTCTCAGGCGGGGGGCCTGGCGGTCTGGGGGTCTTTTGACGTGTTCACGCCTTGAGCACGGGTTGGCGCCCATGATGGGCTACGAGTCCCCTGTCGTTCGTCCTGGGCGAGTACAGCTGCTCCACCACGCTGGTCTGACTCCTGGAGGAGTCGTAGTGGGGAACGTGTACTTGGAGAGCGGCGTGGGGGTGAACGCATGCAACTACGAGGCGCTGCGCGACGTGGCGTGCAGGCTGAAACAGTACGGCAGGCCGTGCGTGATCGGCGGCGACTTCAACTGCACCAAGGCCGAGCTGGAGAAGAGCGGAGTCCTGCGCTTCTTCGATGGCGTCTGCGTGGACACGCTCGAGCCGACCTGCGTGCAGTCGATGCGCTCCATCGGCATGTTCATTGTGTCGAGCGGCCTGCGGCTGCTCAACGTGGAGGTGATCAGCGGATCGCCTGTATGGCCGCAGTGCTGGAGCTCGAGGCGACGCGTCAGAGTCCCTACATCCGCGTGATGGATGTGCCCAGGCGCTTCCCGCAGGAGAGGCCTGCTGGCTGCGCGAGTTGGGACTGCCACGTGCCGTGGGCCAGCGTCGGCGAGGAGGTACGGCGGCTCTTGCGCTCTGTGCCTCGGCAAGGTGTGTCGACGGCTCCTCTGGGCGGGCTTGCGGATGCTGCCCTTAATGGCGCTGCTCCCCCGAGCGGCGCGCCTCGAGGAGCTACGGGGCCCACGCCCGCTGCCGATGGTGCGAGCGCGCATGGACCTGTGCGCGGTGGTGTTTCTGGACTTCGCGGGCCCTTGCAAAAGCGACCTGCAGGCGGAGAACGTGCCACTCTAGCTGGGGAGTGTGAGCGAGGTTCAGGGGCTACTGCTGCTGATGGACATGTGTCGCAGGCGGCCTGCGCTGACGTGGGGCTGACGCAGATCCGTGGCCAGATCAACGTTGCCTGGCAGCGGTTCCTGGAGCAGGCCGAGACCGACTGGATCGACATATACCAGGTGGGTGAGGACGGCCAGAAGTATCGTGGGCGAGGTCAGCCAGTGCATCCGCGCTGGGTCCTTAAGTTGCCTGTCGTCGGCGCGCGGTGGCCCAACGTCTCGGTCGAGGCTACCTGGCTCTACAGGGTGTCGTGCGAGCTGCACCTTGTCGCCGCCGTCGCGCAGCCCGTCAGCCGTGTCCGTGCGCTTCGAGGTCTGCGCAGGCTGATGGCGACCGCGCCCAAGGCCGTGAAGGGTGTCGCGGAGGCTGAGCCTCACGACCTGCCTGTCGCGAGCTCTTGGTGGCAGCTCCTCAACAGCTTGGGCGTTCACTGCCTGGGCCCGTCCACCGCGGTCCTGCAGCTGAGCGAGCGCGCCCACGCCGCCGCCGCGAAGCTGGCCGAGCGCGACATGGCGGAGCGCTACGCCAGGTTCCAGCAGTGGGTCGCCAAGCAAGCTGTGGGCGGTGGCGGCGGGCCCCACGCGGTGGCTAGCTTGCCGATCGGCTTCGCGGAGAGCCCCATGCTGCGCACCAGCACCGCGGAGACGCGCGCGCCCTTCTGCGAGCCCGCCGACCTCGCCGCGGAGGTCACTGCACTGGAGGTTGCCTGGAGCGGGTGGTGGAGGACAACATGCGAGCAGGTGTCGCTGCGCTGGCCGAAGGACCTTGGCGCGCGGCCGCCTCGGCCGACGGTGGCGCAGCTGCGGAAGGTGCTCATGACTTTCCCCGCCAACACGGGCACTTCCTTCTGCGCGGTGCGGCCCAGGCAGCTCAACGATCTCTGCGACGACGGGATCGAGGTCCTCGCTGACATCATCGAGGCGATCGAGCTCCACGCGTCCTGGCCTGAGATGACCAAGATCTGCTTCATACAGAAGAGACTTGGTGGGGTCAGACCGATCGCGCTGATCATGGTGCTGGCCCGTGTGCAAGCTCGGCTGCGTCGTGACATCGCACGCGGATGGGAGACGCAGAATGCGCGCAGCCATTGGTGGGCTTCAGCGGGGCGCAGCTGCGAGCGAGCGGTCTGGCACCAGGCTGCCATTGGCGAGTGGGACACGCAGCGTGGGCAAGACTGCGGCGACGAGAAGCGCTGGGTGGCGGCGGCCGTCCTGCTCGACCTGCTGAAGGCCTTCGAGCAGGTCGGGCGCCGCGGGTTGCTGGACGCCGCGGTGCGCACTGGCTTCCCGTTGTGGCAGCTCAAGCTTCAGGTCGAGCTGTACTGCGCGCCGAGGGTGCTCGCCCTGGGCAGCGCGCACTCCGACGTGATCGAGGCTCGGCAGGCGATCTTGCCAGGAGACGGCTTCGCCACCACCCTGCTCAAGCTGATGCTGATCGGGCCGCTGGACAGGCTGGTCGAGCAGCACCCGACGTTGCAGCTGGCGGTGGTCGTGGATGACCTCATGCTGCACAGGTTCGGCGGCGCAGTGCGTGTCACGAAGGAGGTGGCGGAGGCGGCCTTCAAGCTCAAGGCGCTCTTGACGGAGGTCGACCTCAACGTGGCGCTCTCCAAGTCCCGTGTGCTCGCCAACGTGTCCGACGTCAGGCACGCCGTCGCTGCGAAGCTCAAGCGGCCGCTCGGCATGGTTTCGGTCAAGGGCGAGCGCAATCTTGGAGTCGACTTCTCTTGCGGCCGCAGGGTTGTGAGGAAAGTCCGCGGCGACAAGATGGTGCTCGCGGGGTTGAGGCTCAGGCGCGTGGCCATCCTGAAGACTGGGGTCGGGCGCAAGCTGGCTGTCCGCAAGGTGGCGCGCAGCGGGCTCGAGGCGTCCGTCTCCTACGGCTTCTCCGTCACGGGCTGCGCCGCCACGGAGCTCGACAAGCTGCGCGCGCTCATCTTCACGGCCGTGGCGCAGAGCGTGGCGGGGCGGTCGCGGACCCTCACGCTCATGCTCACGCCCTTCCTCGACCCTGTCTACCGCGCGACGCTGGCCCCAGTGATGGCGATGCTGCGTGCGGTCTGGGAGCGCTGGGTGCCGGAGCATGTGATCAAGTATGGCCTGGCCCAGTGTGCGGCCACTAGCTGGTGCCAGGTGAAGGGGCCCTTCTCCGCGGTCAGGCTCTCCCTAGAGCGCGTGGGCTGGCGGATTGTTGACGGCAGCACCTGGCTCACGCACTGCGGTGACAGCATATGCATCTTCGAGACCTCGCCCTGGGTCGTCAAGCGCCTGCTCTGGATGGCGGTGGAGGCTTGGCAGTGGCGACAAGTTGGGCAGCGGCCTGGGCTCGCCCATCTGGCTGATGGGGGCATCCTTGAGCCCATCGTCAGGCTCGCCAACGCGGGGGCGGTGCAGCGCAAGGGCTTCTTCGGCCGACAGGTGAACTACGTCGACGGTGACGCTGGCGCCGCCGCTCCTCGGCCTGTCGGTCGACCTGCTGTGCCTCCTGAGGTCGCGGCGCTGCCGTCGGGAGAGGAGGCAACTCGTGGCGGTGTCGCGCGGCATGGTGCTGTGGCTGGCTCTGCTGCGGGCGGCCTGTCAGGCCCAGCTCTGGCCAGCGTGCTCGGGCCTGGCTACCTGACCGCGGTGGAGGCTAGCGCCGCTACTCTACAAGCTGCGCGCGCTGAAGCTGGAGACGGATGGGGTGACCTCATCAACGACCTGCTCGGCCAGGTGGCGCCTGGCCCCCCGCCGCGGCCAGACCCGGCAGGCGGGGCACCGCTCGCACCTGGGCTGCCTGCTGGAGACGCTGGGGTTGGTGCCTGCCCAAGCCTCGTACCTCCGCGACAAGGTGTGTCGACGGCTCCTCAGGGTGGGCTGGCGGATGCTGCCCTTAATGGCGCTGCTCCCCCGAGTGGCGCGCCCCGAGGAGCTACGGGGCCCCCCACTGCCGCTGGTGCGAAGCCTGCTCAGATCGCCAAGGCGATCCGTCTTGCGCCCAATGAGTGTGGATACCTCGCCTCGGTCATCGTGGATGGCCAGTGGTCG